CTGAGGCGGAAGGATCGCCGGAGCCCAGCAGGTCAAGGCTGCGGTGGCCGGGAGCGACCATTGCACTCCAGTCTGGGTGACAGGGTGAGACTCCAACTGAAAAAAAAACAAAAACAAAAAAAACCCTACACTAACTCTCTACTTTTCTTTAAAACAAAAGGTACACAAAAAATAAAGAAGTAGAAGAAGTGTAACAGCCAAATTCACCTCTTATCTGGAATTTCATACCTCATAATGTGTACTTATTCAAGAAATAAAATTTTGTTTTAACAAATCACATTTCTAATTAAAGTTTCCTCCTTTTGGACTTCTGATACTTCACATAGATAAGGATAATTAAAGAAAAAAGATATGAATCATAAATCAGGATAAATCCATGGAAAAGACATTAAAAAGTGACTGACTATATTTATATTTATTTTTCATTATTATTAGCTTTAAGGGTGACTTTTCAAAAAAGGTAAAATATAACCAACTTACCATGTATGCTTAAGTACAACAGTAAACATTTTTTGGAAAGTAAATTTATTGTAAACAAAAAATTTTAAGAACAAACAATGACTAAAAATCATTAGAAATGTTAGTAAACCATGCATATTCAAAAGCCATTTCTTCTGTGCTGTTAAGCAACTGAGAAATTGAAAAGAATACTTAGTTGTTTTAAAACACTTGAAAAAAATTATTTAAAAGATCTTTCTTTTAGATGACAGTGATCTAAACGCAATCCAAGCTTTTTGATTAGGAAAAGAAATGTGCAATGGTCTAGTAAGCCTGCTCCCTACACAGTATGCATCTGTCTATCATACCATTGTAGATAGCATATACATGTTTAAAATAACTAGATTAAGAAACCCAACTTTAATTCATATTTCAAGGTCTTGAAAAAAGAAAATGCATTAAAGACAGATGCATGTCAGTAGGCTTAGGGTCACTGGCATTAGGTTTAAACAGTATTAGAATGAAATTAACCTCCAACAGCTTCCATGAGGCTCTTAGTAGAGGTCGTTTACATGCAGTCAAAGGATGTGTTAAGAGAGGAGACCACAGGGAGTGCTGATTTAGCAGATGCCTGCAGATCACTCAGAATGGGAAAGAAAAGGAGGTGCTGGGAAGGGACAGGTCATGCATAAGGAAAATACCATGAAGGGGAAGCCAGACCAGGATAGGAGTGAGAGACACAGACTCACTCTGTCTGCGGTGCGGTGGAACAGTCCGTGGGATTCCCTGGAAGGAGCCCTGCCAAGGAGAGAAGGAGGGAGCAGAATACCCACCCTGTGCAGAGAGAGATGGGGTAAGGAGGTATAATAAAAAGGGAACCGAAAAATAGAGAAACCAAAGTCATACTTTGTTTTATTTTTATATAACATACAGCAATAGTGTTAACAAGAAGACAGAATTCATTTTTTAAAATATAGGTAGCTCTGCTAAAAATACATCATAATCCAACTTAGTTATTATTTATAAATTAAAAAAAAAACTTTTTTTCCCTTCATATCTGTGTAGTATAATGTACAAGAAAGAATATATTTTTCCTGGTATACATTATATTCATCACCATATACATCTTTTTGAAGTAGCAAATTTCAGTCTTTTGCAGAAAAGGAATTTTAAAGGAGAGATAGACTTTAGGTGTTAAACATACAGAAATTGCATCAACGTATTAATCAAGCAATACAAAAATTACCATACAAAATTTTTTATTTTTTTTTAAATCATAGGTTTTCAGAGGGTTAGCAAGTAAAAATAAAGAACATTAGCTTAAGTTTAGTAGAACCAGTGTAGCATTTAAAAAGACACAGAATGTTGTGAGAGTAAGTACTGTATAAAGAATGCAACATGGGTCGGGCTCAGTGGCTCAGCCTGTAATCCCAGCACTTTGGGAGGCCGAGTTGAATGGATTGCCTGAGCCCATGGGTTCGAGACCCGCCTGGACAACTTGACGAGACCTCATCTCTACAATAAATCAAAATGAGCTGGGCGTGGTAGCACGTGCCTGTAGTTCCAGCCACTTGGAAGGCTGAGGCGGAAGGATCGCCGGAGCCCAGCAGGTCGAGGCTGCGGTGGCCGGGAGCAGCCACTGCACGTCAAGGCTGCGGTGGCCGGGAGCAGCCACTGCACTCCAGTCTGGGCGACAGAGTGAGACTCCAACGCAAAAAAAAAAAGAATGCAACATGCCAGTCACAGGTTACATGTGCATGATGCTTACACCCCCCCACCCCCACCCCACCCCGTTTTTAGAGAGACAGAATCTTGCTCTGTTGCCCAGGCTGGACTATAGTGGCACTATTATAGCTCACTGCAGCCTCAAACTCCTGGGCTCAAGCAACCCTCTCATCTCAGCCTCCAAGTAGATAGGACTACAGTCATTTGCCACCATGCCTAGTTTTTTGTTTTTTTGTTTTTTTTTTTAATAGAGATGGGGTCTTGTTATATTGCTCAGACTGGTCTCGAATACCTGGCCTCAAGTCATCTTCCCACCTCAGCCTCCCAAAGTGCTAGTAGTACAGGCATGAGCCACCAAACCCAGCCACATACTTTTTAATTTGAATAACTTGAAACTTTTTAGCTTTATTTATTTTAATCACAGATTATTAGAATAGATCTGAAACATCACCTACTTCAGTATGTAATAGGGTAATGACTGCAGGTGCTCTTCTCCATAGATATTATCTGCTACAAGTCTATTTTGCTGTTGGGAAGTGTTTTGGTTCAAAGGCTTTACACAAAGCAAGTCCCCAACAAAATCCTCCCTATAAGTTTTACCAAAACCAAGCTTCTGCCCATTCCACTGGGTAAAGGAACTTTCAGATGAGAACTTTGTAGATAATGTTTAAAAAGCAGTCATAGATTCCTTCATCAAAACTACATCAAGGTTTGTGGAAATAGCACTGCCCTTGGACTCAAGGGAACTGTGTTTCTCCTTCATTCTTCCACAAGCCTTGTAACCTTGAGAAAGTCATTAATCTCTGAGGCTAGATTCTTCATTTGTCAGATGCAAGAAAATCCTAAAAATCTTCTTTTAGTTATTAAAATTCAGTTACTCTCATATTTATCTCTATCTCCACTCCAGTCTTTGCTATGCCTTAATTGTATAACTCTATTTACATGACACTTAAAGCAATCAACTTTGTATTAAATTGTCTCTCCTGCTAGATCATTAATTCATGTAATAATTTACGTGAAAGTCTGTCACATTATCTATAACTTGGTAGAAGTTTTAAAAGATATCAAACAGCCTACCTTCTCTAGCCTGAAACTCCCCAGCACAAAGCAGACTGTAAGTAGCTATGTAACTCAAACTGATTAAGTTACTGTGTCTTGATCTAGAGATAAAGCTATAACATCCCTCAGTCCTGACCATACATTAAAGTCACCTAAGAAATTTTAAAAACTCAATAACATGGAACCAATCATGCTGCCCCCACCGAAGCTGGACTGGATTAAAAAAATGTGGTACATATATATGGAATATTATGCCGCCATAAAGGACAAACATATGGAGTTCGCAGTAACTTGGATGGATTTAGAGTCTATCATACTCGTGATCTATCACAGAAACAAAGAACAGAGCACCTATGTTCTCACTCATAAGCGAACCTTGAACAATTATTATAATACTATAAGAAAGGAATTGGCAGTAGTGGGAAACTGCCGGGGAGTGGGGGTGGGGATTGGCAGTTGAGGGAAACTACCAGGGGAGGGAGGGGCACACCTCACCAACAAGGGTACCTGCATAATGAACATTTGTATACCTAACCCTGAATTGTACCACACATCTTTAAAATAGAAAAAAAAAAGAAATTTAAAAAATTTAAAAAACAATACAATGATACTCATCTTCATTTTCCCAGGACCAACAAATCATAATCTCAAGCATAGACCTGACCCATAACAAGAAAGGAAAGATTGTGAAATAAATACATAAATAGCTCTGCCTGCTACTACCAAAAGGCACTTGTCTGTTTTGGACAGTTGTTAGCCATCTGAACTTATGGCAAGACAGCTACTCATTTTATTTCTGCCAGTTAAAACAACCTCCTCCCCTCCCCTGCCCAACTGTCAAAATCCTATTAAGCCCCTTGAGCCCAATTCAAACCCTTTTCCTACAAGCTACAAGCTCTTCCTGATCCTATCTAAATTAACCGTGATCATTTTTGTTTATAACACCCACAGTTCTTGGAGGATACCTGTCTCAGGGAATCTTTTTTCCTCTTTTCATTATTTTGATTTGAATAGTTAAACAACACAACAACAAACTCTTCTTCTAAATATAACCAACTTGAGAATAACAGTTTTCCTTTTTTTTTTTGAGTTGGAATCTCACTCTGTTGCCTAGGCTAGAATGCAGTGGCATAATCATGGCTTACTGCAACCTCAACCTCCTGGGCTCAGTTGATCCTCCCACCTCAGCCTCCCAAGTAGCTTGAACTACAGGTACATGCCACTATAACTGGCTAACTTTAAAAAATTTTTTTTGTTAGAGACGAGGTCTCACTATGCGGCCCAAGCTGATCTTGAACCCCTAGGCTCAAGCAATACTCTGCCCTCAGTCTTACAAAGTGCTAAGATTACAGGTATGAGCCATCACGCCCTGCTTGAGAATAATAGCTTTTTTACTTTTGGTTTCAACTATTTAGCTTCTTGTCAAGTGATTTTACTGAGTAGAAACAACATACCCTAATCAACATTTAATGGAAAAGAGAATTCCAGCTCCAACACAAGATGTAGTAGACACACTTCTCTGTTTTCCTGCTGTGAAGTACAGCTAAAAACCTTGGGTACTATATATAAAACACAAAACTCTGAAGATGAAGAGAAGAAAGCAGACCAGGTAGGGACCTTGGAACCTGAGGAAAAGCATAGTAGAGAGTTCCCTGGGTTTTCTTTTTGCCTAATGTATCCTAAACTGAATGATGGAGAAGTCAGCACCTCAAAATGCAAGGGATACAAACTACGTGTTTCAAGAAAATCCTGCACTCTCTAGCCAAAGAATCAGGAAAGAGGAAGCCAAGCAATTCAGAAAGCTTGTACTCAGGAATCTGCCTAATACCACAGAAAAATCTGTGGTTCCAGCCCCTAATACCATCAGAAAAGGCAGACTGGTGAGTCTAGGCTTTTACCCTTGCCAGGCTATGACATTATTTTGAAGTATGTATTGAAAATATTTAAAACACCTATAAAATGGGGCAAAAGAAGAAACTTAAAGGGAAATAAGATTTCTATACTAAGCAGACTATATATAGTTATACATATGAATATATACACACATATATATAAAATGTAATGCCTAGAGTAACTAAAAATTTGTACAAAAAGGTACACTCAAAACACTATATGTAAATCAAACTGGAATTCTAAGAAAAGGTACAAGTAAAAGCAAGAAAAAGAACAAAAATAACATCAAATAAAATAAACTTTAGAGCAAAAACAATTATCAGGTACAGAGAGGTCAATCTACTAAGATATAGTAATCTTAAGTGTGTATTATACAAAACTACAAAAATGTACAATACACAAAGCAAAAACTGACAGAACTGAGAGGAAAATAACCAAATCCACAATTACAGTCAGAAAATTAAACACTCCCCTCTCAACAGCTGATAAATATCTATAAAACAAGAAAATCAGTAATGACATAAAACTCAAGAACACCATAAACAATCAGGATCTAGCCAACATTTACAAAATACTCTATCCGACAACAGCAAAACACAATTGTCCACAAAATATTTACAAGACAGACTGTAGTTTGGGCCATAAAACAAACCACAACAAACTTAAAAGAATCCAAATTTTAAAGAATGTGCTCTGTGACTACAATGGAATCAAATCATAAAGATGACAAAAAATAGTTTTCAAATCCTTAGATATTAAAAAAAAACTTCTAAGTAATTCATGAGTCAAGGAAGAAGACTCAAGGAAAATTTAAAAGCACACTGAACTGAACACCAAAAAATACATAATTTCAAAATATGCAGGACACAGCTAAAGTAGTAATAGAAAATGAAAACCTCAAATCAATAAGCTAAACTGATACCTTAAGAAACTTAGGGAAAAGGTCAAAATAAACCCAAAGTAAGTAAAATAAAGAAGACAAAGACTGCAGAAATTCTTAGAAACTGAACATAGAGAAAAACAAGGACAACAAGATGTTGGTTCTTTAAAAAGAGCAGTAAAGCTGGGCTCGGTGGCTCAGCCTATAATCCCAGCACTTTGGGAAGCTGAGGTGAGTGGATTGCCTGAGCCCAGAGTTCAAGACCCGCCTGGGCAAC